CCATGGAATTCCCCATGGCTGGCTGGGGAATTCTGGGAGTTGAAGTCCACTCATCTTAAAGTGGCCAAGTTTGGACAACACTGGTATAAAGGAATTGCAATGCTGTTGCACATTGCTAAATGCTGCATTACCGTTTGCAGTAGTTTACATTTAACCAAATGTGTATTTTGTCATGCATATTGACTGTCTTGAGATACCTATTTTCAGATTATCTTTCTACAAGAGGGCTGATTAAGGGCAGCTTATTTAGAACAAGAATAGGATACAATGTATTTATATATCTCATTTATCACCAACCACTTTTTAACGAGATGGGCAGTGACAAATTTGATATATAAATACATTTTATCCTATTCTTTTTCTAAATAAGCTGCCCTTAATCAGCCCTCTTGTAAAAAAAATATATCTGAAAATAGCTATCTCAAGACAGTATTAGAGGGTTGGGGTTTTCTCTTAAAATACACATTTAAACACGTAGATACCTCAGTTGTGAGTAAAGCTTTCCCAAAGTGACACAAGGTAGATCTAGGCATAGATAATTCTGGCCTAGATGAAACATTTTATTAAAAAGTGGTCTGCCACCCTTCAGATCGTGTTCCCATATCATCTAAATTCATAGGATTGCAGGCCAACAGTGCAGATATGAACGCAGGAACAAGGATAGCTCTTCTGCTGCTAAGTGATTTAAAAAAAAAAAAAAACCTGTCCTACAGGTTGAAACATGATAGTTTTTATTGGATACTCTAACTTAATGAACTCCTTTGTGGTAAAAGTAATTCAATAATGAATTGGGTTCCTAGTTTGTCATCAACAGCTTGCTAAAAAACAAGAGAGAAGAGAGATAGAGAAATGGAATTCGACTTGATGATTGTTTTATCTCATTTACTTTAATTGTGTTACGAATCCTGGAGAAACATGGTTAGCACCAGTGCAGAATTTCCCCAAAGCAAGGGAGCAAAAGCCAATGAGTTTCTCCAGAAAGACTGCCACACCACTGCTCACTGTAGGAACATCAATATTATTGAGTTTAGTCAGTGGGTTTCAAATTGTTTTCCAAGGAACTGAATGGAATTTATTGAAAACTTCTCACCGAGTGAATCAGTCACACTGAGCTGTGACCAACAAGAACTGATCTTCTTCAGATCTGGAAAGTTATATATAAAAAATCATGCTTCCTTAAACAAAACCATTGTTTTTCCTCTTTCCAAGATGGGTCAGCATGCAAGATGAAATAAATCACCTAGAACTGGATGGATCAGAATGAAATTAGTCCATTTTACAGTCTACATTATTATGAATGGGTCCTTTAAAGTCCTAACAATCCACGTCCGTTTTCTTTGCAACTTCTCTTAAGTGTACAGCTTTTGTAAATAGCCCCTTGTAATGTACAGAGTTGTTGGTGTACATTCTTTAGTGACATCTAAGGACACTAAAGGACCTGATCTCAGTCCTGTAATGTAAACTTCCCTGATGCAAGTTTCAAAATATACAGTATATATCTTACTGAGAGAAACTCTTTTTAATAAAAGGGTGGTGTACGTGGGGCTGCCCTTGAAGACTACCCGG